TTTGACCTGGCGGGTGGGGGGACATCCCGGTACCTTGTTGCGCCCTGAAGCTGTAGACATCTGCAGGATCAGATGCTCTGCCTGACAAAATAGAGGAGATCGGCCTTTGGCTTGCCATGGTGCCAAGCGGTTACGGCTTGTGGGAGTCCGTCCCAGGACGAATGGACGAGATCCGACGCTCTTCGGAAGGACACGGCTGACACTTCCTCTTCAGGCTCTGACGAGGATTGCAAGCCTGGGTACTTGTGTCTGCACGCGCCCTTCTTGTGGCTCTGACTTGATACAGAAAACACGAGCCGATAGCGCCGATCGGTAAAGAGAGGACTCCAAGAAGAGCCGTTGTCGACAGGGAAACTGTAGAGAACAGCAAACTCCCGTAGAGAGTGAAGCTTCTCCTTGCATCTGCTCTCATCCGCTCATGTTTGCATTCGTCTTCCGCCTCGGACTGTCTTCGTCAGCGAGGCACCCGTTGCATGTTGCCATCTCTTGCGCTGGTCATGGCTACAGGTGATTTCTGTAGTGACATGATTGGAATTTCGACTCTCAGCCAGCTTGCTCAAGGAGAGAGCACCCGTTGCAACCTGTCTACTTCAGAATAGCAGGATCGAAAATCAGCAGCTGGAAGCTAAGAGCCTTAGATGCCACCGGGGCCAGCTCGCCGCGGGCTGCTCACCTTTGTGGTAGGTGCGGCTGCGATGCAGACTTTTTAGCCTTCGACAGGTCGGAGCTGTCCTGACCAGGTGGTGAGCCTTTCGAGATACCGTGGCCGTACCTGGCTCTGCACTCTCCTGTTTGGGCGGACAAGCTGGCAGAGGCAGGGCAGGCTTCGAATCACGTGTGCCGGAGAGTCAGTAGTCAAGTCATGCGTCCAGGATCCAAATCTCGCCGTCATAGACCTGGAGGGGGAGGCATTCTTGCAAGCGGTACATTCTCGAGAGAAATTTGTCGTTGTAGCAGCCACCGTGCATCTGCCGCAGCCGCTTGTCTCACCGGATGAGCGCTCCTTATCTCGTGACGACTCATCGGGAGCATTGTACCTCCTGCCGAAGGGAGGTGGACGATGACGAAGTGGTGGCAACATGGCTATCCTAGAAGGATCTGCTAGCGCTTGCTGATGTCAGGGGGATCGGACGTGTTGGGTAGAATTGGCGCAGCACATCAAGGTCAGCTAGGTTTTCGAGGCCACGGTGCAGCGTTCAGTTCCGCAGCACTGGTAATAGGGTTGCATACCCAGGCCAGGGAATCGTACCATGTCATACTTCCGAGTCGTTATCGCCGGTTTTCCCAAAATGTTGACGATGTGGGAGCCAAAGAGCTTAGCAGCGTGGTGGGGAGCTATGCGTTGCGGCGGCATAGCGGGAGCTTAGGTGAGCGGAGAGGGCTTCCGCGTCCACCTGGGCTGCGGCACCGTACTGGAGTTCGAGGGCCTTCAACCGACGGGACCCCAACTAGCAGGACGCGAAACCTTTGCCAGTCTGATTTGCTGTTCTTATGGAGGAAGCTATCGGACTGCTATCGAAGCCTTCTGATTGCAGGAGCTGATCTCGCCTCGCTGAGCTCAGAGGTGGACTGGCTGGCGGAGCAGCGCCAGATCCTGGAGCAACTCTCAGGCTCTTCGCTTGTTGTTGGCTTGCTGGTCAGCCGCCTGAGCCATTTTTGCACGCAGGCGGGTCCAAAGGACGAAGACGGACAGGAGACGGCAAAAAGCAGTGCCTGGGCTCCGACGGCTCTACAGCAAGAGTCAGCAGCTCTCGAGCCTGCAACTGGTACGCTGATAGCCCTGAAGCTTAGGCGAAGCATCGATGCGCAATCGATTCTCCGTGACGCTGCAGCCGTTGCGACCGTGTGCGAGGGGGACAGCGAAGAGCGTCCTCTTCAATGGCAGCTGGCCGGAGAGGCGAAGCGCCGCCGATCGCCAGAGGAGCAGCTCGTCAGTTTCGCCAGTTCATTACTTGCGACCTGGGTCCCCCCCTTGTGCTGATGCTCCCACATCTGGAAAAACACTTCAAGAGACTGAGGTTCAGCACTGATCCCGGCAGATCACAAGCTGACAATGGCAAGCTCCCCTCTGCGGCAATGGAAGACTAGCAGCTGGCGTGCGAAAATGCTTTCAGACGCCAGAGCAAACTACCTATCCTATAATTGGTCGCCCACCACTCCCTTTCACAGGCCGACTCGTTCCGCGCCTACCTTAACTTCCTGCAGGGTGCAGATGGCCACAAGCTTGGCAACTCACCGGCAAGATTTTGTTCAGAGTTACCTCTTGGCCGAGGTCCCACCGGTGACCTCAGCCCGTCGAACTTTCTGCAGATTCTCCACTGGAACCAGGCCAGGGTGAGTTCGAGCCCGGAAACCTGGCTTGGCTCTTTCAGGCTACTTGATGCTTCTTGGCTTTCACGGGTCTTGCCAGGAGTTCGGTGTAGAGCACATTCGAGGACAGCCCGGCCTGCATGATTCGTAGGACCCGAAGATCCGAAGCTGCACATTCGGTTTGGCCATTGAGAAACGCCAGGTGCGAGGCCTTCCTGTTGGACCCCCGGTGCCGCGAGGCCATCGAGCTTTCCCCCGACGAAGTCCTAGAGGCCCGATCTGAGGAAGCGCAGCCCTGACATAGGCCCTATTATCCCATTTTCCTTCGCAGATCGCGGCGCGGCACGACATGCCAAAGCTGTATGAGAAAGCCGTCGAAGTGACAGGGCAGGGGATGCAATACATCCAGGCACCTGCAACTCTGGACATCCACGCTCTCAGAGCCCATGCTTCGATTGGTGGCGGCAGGTTCCAAAGGGAGCGCCGACCAAGTTCGATTCCGAGGATCTGCTTGCTGGCCCCTCATGGACGCTCGAATGTGCCTGCGTGCGGTGCGCGGAGGACCTCAGAACAGACGTGGTCAAAGCTCACCTCTCGATGGGCGTCATGTGTGCAGACGGGGAGCGCCGTGCTCGTTTCTCAACGCAGTCCGGGCTCGCCGCGCCCAATAGGCATATCAGTTGCCGTAGGCTGTAGTTGTCTTCAAGATCCAGGAGATGCGTTGTCGGCATCGGTATGCCGACCAAGCTTTGTCGCTTGCCTAAGTTCAGACGCTGTTGCTGACTGACATGGTGTATGTGATCTTGAGATGCATCGCTTTCTAGGGATGTGCTGTTGATCTATTCCGAGTCGGATGCATGAAGCTGGCCAAGGCTTCCTGACGCCCATGAGCGAGCGCGACTTCTCTGGAAGACGGTCGCCCAGCTTTTCGCGAGAAGTGTGAGCTTTCGGGCCAGAAGTTGGGCCACAGTTCCAAGCAGTTCAGGTCAAGGGGTCGGTTTCGCAAACCAGCTCCGGCAGAGTCGAGACCTTGATGCCTTGGGAAATTGTCGGAAGGCCTTCGCATTGAGCGTGAAACTGTCGTCATGCATCGCTCAGACCTGACCATGACTGGCGATGCCCCCAGATGGCCAGAAACTCTGTTGCTCTACGGGTGCATAAGGTGATGTGAGACAATCTTTTTGCTGGCGAGGTGTGGCCGCACCACTCGTTCCGTGGCGAGGCACGAGGGTACTCGTTACAAGTCCGCAGCCAGCGGATGCAGTGAACACTTGTGCAACATCTTGGTTTGGGGAGCATCTGCATGCCAAAAGCTGTGGCACGAAAAGAGGACTGGACGGCAATTGCTTCGGAGTCCAATCCTGAGTGGCCCAAGAGATGGGAAATGGCCGAGCAGCGAAAGATGTTACCGTGGGCTGCTCCCTCAACGGTGCATCCGAGGACTCAGCCGACCTTGCCACGTCGATCGGCCTTGAGGCCTGGACGGTTTCTGCAAATTGGAAGTTGCCTGCCTGCCTGCCCGCGGCGACAGGAGCGAGCCTCGTCGCAGAAAGTGAAGCAGAAAGCGCGGGGTGCCTGTGCCTTGCCCAACACGGGCTGAGGTGCCCCAGGCCACAGAGCGGCCTCCTTCAGATGTCCCGTTTTAGGATGTTTGGAAGTGTTGTCAAAGGGTAGCAGGATCTTTTCGCAGGCTTCCGCATGCGCCGAAGGCGCGTCGGCCGACCCGCGGGCGGGGGAAAGAAAGCGCTCCGGCAAAGCTTCGAAACTCGCACTTTGAGCTGTGCAGGGGTGTTCCCTTTGGATCTTTCGTTGGAGGCGTTTAGTCCTGGATGGTGAGACGGCGATGGCGGCTGGGTCTTGGAGGCCTTGGCCTTGGCTTTGGCCAGGCCATGGCAAAGCCCAGGAAGCGGTATGTCGGGGACTTGGGGAATCGGGAGACGAGTCGAGAAAAGGGCCAACCCCTTCAGGCACGTAGCATGGTGGCAAATGCAGACGACCTACTTCGCTGGCTTCCGTCTTAGAGCCAGGCAGCCAGCGCGTGCTTGAAAGGCTTTCATCTGGCCGGAGGTTTCCGAACGCCAGCCTGGTCGTCTTGAGGGGAGCTGCAGTTCAGCACCCCACTCAGCTGCCAGAGCATGTTGAGAGTGGGGGACCGGGGTCACCCAGGATTGGGATTGAAGAGTTGGGTATGGCGGAGGCGCGTTGAGACCTTCTATGACGGCTTGCTTCGCAAAACAAGCAATGCCAACCTTGGTTTCGCAGCCTCCCAGGGTGGCTGTACTGGTGGCTCGGCTGTACTGGGCAGGCTCTCCTCAACGGCAGTGAGCTGTTTCCGCAGGCGGTAACACGAGCGCTGTATTGCGTTAGTAGCGGTTTCTGTACGGCCTGCACCCGGGCGTTTACGTCCAAAAGGATGCGCTTCATTTTGGCTTCGGCATCTACAACCCGTCCTTGGCCCATGCAAAGCTCGACACCTGGCAAACAGCGGAACACATAGCTTGCATTCAGAACATCTATCTCCAGTGGCGTGCAGGGCTTGCTGCTGCCAGTGCAGCTAGGGAAGGTGAGCCCAAAAAGCTTTCTGAAGGCCCGGCTACCTCCTCGCTGTATTCCGGGCTTCGAATTGGCATGGCACCCACTGCCCAAGACCACCTGGCGGATCCATGCACTCTACCATGGCTTCCTGAGGCACTATTGTCCAGAATCAGGCTGGGATGGAAATTGGACTAGTGCCGCTTTGTTGCAGAAATAGCTGCTGAGGAAGCAGTGGCCTGACATCGCACTATCAGCAGTCTCACTCACTCACTCACAGGCTCTG